ATTTATTTCAATGGCTCATGAGCAAGGAGTGCTTAGAAATTAATGAAAACTGAAAGAGCTGCAGTTTGAAATCATTCAAAAAAGTTAGGAAGCTCATTGACTTACTAAAGCTTAATAAGTACATTTTTTGAAGAAAGTTGACAAAAATTATTGAAGAGAATACTTTCAGAGCGAAAGTGAACTGTGGAAGCTCCAATATTTTTTATTACGTTAACAAAATAAGTCGGCTTTCAGGAACTCCACTTACATTGTTGTAATTGCTCGATAGCAAAGTCCATGGCTAAGGAGCAGACGGCTGTGGAGACGCCCAGAAGTGCCAGGTAGAAACCATCGACTGTTATCGGCAGAAATACATACTGATCACGTTCTGAAATCAGTCGATGTAGTTCAATAAAAATGATTGATAATTAGGTGGAAGCCCTGGTAATTGTAAGTACAGTTCCCAGTCGAGGAAAATGAGAGCTAAGAATGAAAATTGAGTAAAAAAATACATTTGAGTACGGTACTTCATTTCGAGCGTCTAGAGACTGGTATCAAGAAACTATAAATTCTGCTCCATACCACTGAAACGTCTTGGTGACGTCGCATGTGACTCTTTTACAAAATCTGCTTACTGCGAAATAAATTTGCTCATGGGCTCACAAATCATTTGTGAACAAACACTTAATTTAATTTTCTATTGTGACCGATATCGCCCAATACACTATCTACTCTTTCTCTAAGATTTTTGACATTTCCTCGCAGATTTTTTATTGCGAATCTTCCAAAAACACGAGCCGGTACCATTTGGAGGCACAGTTCACGATAATTTTGGAATATTTAGCTTTAGACGAATAATGAGTGTTAGTCCGAGAATAATACAAAAGTGGTGGAGAGAACCAAAAATCGACGCGTTTAGAGAAATATGAAGCACTAAAGGAAATAGCAAATAAGGAATTGGACGTGAATGTAACCACAAAAGATGCATGGAAGGGATATTTGGTAGAGCTGTACGAATGTGTGTGCGTGCCGTTGCAAACACTTGACTACAGTAAGCTACTTGCACGCAACAGGTGTGTCATGTAGGGAATGAGACGTTTTGGGTGTGTACGAGTACCAAGCCCGTTGCCCTTGGGGCCCTTTATCGTCATATCCAGGATGTTTCTCTACTTGACGGGGTCCCTAGTTCCATCTTCAGGGGTCACAGGTTAATCTCAGAGAGTTATCACAGAAACCATTTTTATCGTGAACTATGCCTTCAATCGTGGACTTGCCCAGGCGCTGAAAAAGGATACTGGCACTCATTCAATGGCTTCCCTTTCATTGCCTTCCCCATCCTTCTTCCTGCTCAAAGGCTTGACTTTTATACCAACGAGCTCTTCAGCGTTACAAGAGACATCTGACATTGGTTACTAGATATTCTGAGAAGCTCTGGCAGCAATTAGATAACTGCTCCTTTTTGGACTCTAATCAAGTAGATGAAAAGCTATCTTTGGAGGTAACAGGCGCATCTCAGGAGAAATCTCAGGAAGCACCAGAGGTTACCGTAGTTCATGAACAGAGTATCTGAATAAAACTGAAATAGCGATAAATAATTGTAGTGATGATAAAATCTGATAGATACAAACATTTCAATCAACTGTCGCGATTCCACTCGAAGCCCTAGCCAGCTTACATGAGCGGTAAATGAGTTTAGTGTTTAGGGGGGAACTGCACAAATCGAAACTCACTTGACTTCCTCATAGCTTGGTTTATTGGAACATTGTTTAGTTCATGAATGAGAACGGTAACCCATGAGCAGTTCGAATGGAAAAGATATATTCTCAGAAGAAGATATCCCTTGTTAGCAGTGTTAAGAGCTTTGCACTTTTTGAGTATGCCCTTTGTTGTTTTCCCTAGAGGTCGATCGTATTCAAGATCCAGGTGTTTGTCTGGACTTAGCATTTGTTTACAAAACGGGACTGGGAACTAATGGGACCTGAATATGGATTTCGCGAAGCTCTTGGTGACGGAAAGGGAAGCAGAAAAGGCATGTCCACGATATTCCATGATGTGATGCCATTCACAGCTATACTTCGCTACAGTTAGGGCAAGTAAAACATGGTCAGCAGTCGAAGGAACTT